ATTATTATTATTATAAACTCGTCTCCTGAAACTGAGTATGTGAGCGAACCAAGGTTCAGACATACCAGCTCTTAGGATAGTAATCATAGATCCTATTCAAACATTTATTTTTTGAGCTCATTTTCAATAACGATGTGTGGAATAATAGGGCTTAGCCTACATTTGAAATTAGTCTCTTGAATTAAGATGTTAATGAAGGAATAGTTAATGATGTATTATTGTTTATCGAATGTGTTTTGGCTGTAAGTTGTTTAACTAGTATTTTTTTAGTTGCCAGGAAAAAGCACATTGAACAGTTTTTGAATATCCTTGAAGCAAATGGAATGTTTCTCGATCAGAAATTTCTCTTTATAGAGTATAATCTTTAATAGAGATGCCGTCAATTGAATCAATCACTATTGTCTGTTTTTGGATGGAAACACGCCTTTCTGAGCTGCAATTCTGAATAGGGCTTCTCAGCGTGCTTTGGACCCTAGAATTTTCAATATGGCAAACATTCTGTCCTATCAACTTCAAAAATGTACATGAAGCTAGGCTTTAGCACTACATTCAAATATACACAATTTGAAATATGTCATTAAGAATTTTTCTCATTATAATAATAATTTCAATTCACTGAATATTTTGGAACATTGAAATAATTATCCTTTAGACCAATAATTTTAATAATTTTCTTCTGAAACTCATAATGCTGAAATATGAGAAGTTTAATATTTTACTTCATTGTAAAATGAAAGTATAATTGGGAAATTAGGAGGAATAAAATAATTAATTACATTCTTACAAAGATTGTAAATAATTGATATGGATAGAGAATGAATGAAATAAATTTTTTCAAAAAATGATATCAGACTATTTCTTAAATTTTATCCGTCTGCATATTATCATTTCTCCGGTCCTACAATACTATATTTCATATGAATATTCAACAGTAAAAACTAAGGATGAAGAATTAAAACACTATTTATACATTTTTTACCAAGTAAATTTATTTGACAATAGTTACATAATGGTATTTTTCCATGAAATCATCATCTACACTGTCCCTGTTCTGATGAATAATAAATGTATTGTTTTCAGAATCTACCCTATCCCTATCTCCTTCCATCCATACTTTCTTAGCATGCTCCACTGCATTTTCTCAATTTGTAGTTGAAACCCTATAAATGTAAATAATGTATTCATAACACTTTATTGACTTTAAGACATTGAACCTCATTTCCCTTGTGGTAAATGTCAATGAATTAGGATAACTAAGATACCTTCTCTAAAGCCTGCTTCCAAAAATGTATGTCCTTTTCTATTCCCTGGCAAGATCTTGCTAGGACATTCTCATTGTAGTATCCCTTTGTCTGACACCACCCTATTCAATTCAATTGAACATGCTCAGATAGGGAGTAAGACTTATTAATTTGTATAATAACTAGTTAAAACATTTTAATAGAATATATGAAGGTGAATATGAAAATATTAACATTAAAATGAAAGAATTATAATATATTGCATTTACCATGTATCCTGACAATAAATATGTATTATTAAAATTTTCACAATTTACACAAAATGTTAGCAGTATTGGCCTAAATTAACTTATCATACCTACATTTTAGATCTACTCATGGGCTTTTTGGGCAGACTTGATAATAAATCTTTGTTCTCATAGTAAACTACATCCACTCCTTTTTGAGCCAGAAATGAGTGAAAAATATAAAAACATTTCAATTATGTTCTGGAGTCAAGCAACACAAACACAAGACATCAGAAATTAAAATAAAATTTGCTCATCCAGCAAAAGTTGACAGACTTGAATTGTGTAGACCTATCTTTAAATCATTTCTAACTCTTTTATTAGCACATCAATAAATAAACTAAAGAATTATATTTGTTACAAGAAAACTAAAAGTAAAACTAAAAGCTATAAAAAATGTATCTACAAATGTACAAATAGGCAATCAAATCATTAACACATGTATTCACAGTCATCATACTATATAGCTCAACACCCCAATAATAAGTTCCCAGAAAATTAAAAGAATATAAACATTATCGAAAAAGTGTAATAAGCAAATAAAGTTTTTCCTAAATCTTATGATGACTTCATGAAGAGTAATCGAGATGAAAGATGATTAAATTAATAGTCTTAGAGATATTTTTTTAGAAATTAAAATGAACATACAGGTTATCACAAAATGCTAATAAACAATTTAATTTAAAGTTTATAATAATAATACAAATAAAAGGAAGATCAAAAATGATTGTCTAACTACTGAATATTTTTATGTGCAATGTTATCCTCTTACTTTAAAAACAATCAAATCGATTCATATTTACACAATTATTTTATTGGTATCTACACACTAATTGCAATGTTTCGCAACCTAAATAGTCACATTATCAGGTGTTCTACATTACGATCAGTTTAAAATTTAAAATAACATTATAACAAAGAAAAAATAAAAATAGATTTACTATTGAAATTTTAAATACATTATCAAGAAAAAGTCAAGAACTGTGGATATAATAAAATCTCTAAGGGTATAAAATTTTAAATACATAAGTGCACCCATGTCTTATCTGAGACAAAATTGTATTTTGGTTCAGGTAAGAAATGTCTGTGTTTGGTTATATAATGTAATGCCAAAGCAGTGACTTATTATAATTTTTTACAAACAAACCTTACCGTATTAATATTACATGTATAATTAAACATTTTGTATACAGTAATAACAATACATTATACTTAATTATACATGTAACATTATAACTATACAATAACCATATAATAGTGTATTACTACGTTAATACTATAAAATAGTATTACATAAAGCAATGTATAATGTAATATATATGTTTATGTACTAATAACTGTATCACATCTAAAATACTAAATATATTTCCCTGAGAGTGTGAAAGTATCAATGAATATAATCAGTAATTGTATGTTCAAAGCAATGTAAATTTAGTACTTGAGATTTATTGGTCATGAATTGCTAGAGCAATATGTCTTGTCATACTTTGTTTGAAACAATTCTCAGTGACAAATATTTTTATTATTACTTTTACTATTGATATTATTATTACTTCTAATAAGGCTGACAAAGAATTGTGCCTTTTAATAATTAATAAATCATGTTTTCCACTACAAACAATATACTTATTGCCGATTTTCCAAACAAAATTCATTTCTTTCAAAATTCTGTACAAAGGAAGTTAAGATGCTTGAAAAAGTATGTATCATAATTGCCTCTGATATTCTCCCAAATAAATTTTCCTGAAAGAACTTTTCCTGTAAAGAAAGCTTCACATTAACAAACAGAAAGCTTAACTCTACACTCATGTTGAATGTCCCCTTCATGATGTTCCCCATCGATATAAATTGCTTTTAAGAGGTTCATATACATTTGTAATGTTAATTTATTCACACGAGACTTCACTATTAGAACAAACAATAAGAATTAAAATATGTTCAATTACTGTATAGGCCTATACTTAAATTCACAATTTATAGATATTAACAAAACATATACAAAATACATCCATATAGTCATTGCAAATAATCTCGTCATTAGTGCGGAATTTTAAGATTTTGTCACCACCTCCCATCTGATCGTGAGGTCCTAGGTTCGAGTCCGGACCCTGGCAGGAATTTCGACACTGACTAGATAGCAAAGGGGACATCTGTCGCAATCTGGTGGAGAATTCTAGCGGCTGGCTGCTCTGTTCGGTAGTTTTCTGTAGTTTCTCCGATTAACGCCAGGCAAATGCCGGCGCAGTACCCTAACAAACGGGCCACGGTACGTGTGCGATTTTTGCTTCCCATTTCTTGTCCAATCCTCACCCCTTACTTACACACCCTTACGCTTTCATGCACTACACTACTACCCATGCCGGGAGACCGGTCGCGCGCTCAGAGCTCGTCCCGGCTGGGGCAGTGCC